GTCACGATTTGCCCTATTTTTTCCAGATTTTCCTTACTGTTAGTAATCCATGTGCTGTCATCCATGTATGTAATCGAAGATATGCTGAGCCTGGTCCTGTGCACTATTCTGGGATCTTTTGTTGGATAGCTTGTGTTGATTGTATATCCTAACTTTTCTTGCTCGATTTTGCAAATGAGCGGGTCATAATATATGCACCATAGTAAGGGAGAGATCATGTCTCCTTGGTCTATTCCTATACTTGGACTATAGTTTCCTGAGAGTCTGTGACATGTGATGATCTGATTGTTTCTGTCTGAGTTAAGTTTTAATAATATTGTTATAATATTTTGTGGGATTTTGATTCTTAGTAAGGCATCTTCTAGTCGGTTTCTATCCATCAAGTCATATGCTTTGCTGATGTCCTGTGTCAGGATCCAGCATTCTTTTTGATTTTCTCTTGCGTCTTCCAATACATTATTAATGATCATGATTGGCTCATGTGTTTTACCTCCAGGGAGTCCCGCCCAATTGAGAGGGGATAGTACCTTGTGTTTTGTGAGAATTTTCGCCAGTCTGTTGTTTAGGGTTTTGGTGAAAAGTTTTTTAATTGTTTCCAACAGTGTGATTAGTCTAGTTAAGTTGAGATCATGATGCCAGTCTTTCTTTTTGGGTATTGGATATATCAGATTGTTTTGCCAGAAGCGTGGGATTTCTTGTGTTTCTAGTACCTTATTGAAGATATCCACTATTCTTGCGAATGCTACTTTTTCCATTCTTTTGATAATGTCATAGCTGAGCTGGGATTTTCCAGAAGCAGATCCATTGTTTATTCTCTTAATTGTTTCTTCTATCTCCTGTATTGTGTACTGTTCGGTGAGCTCTGTGTACCATGCCGGATTTATCTGTGGTTTTGGTGCATACTCTGTTCTCCACTTTGACTCTTCCGTTTTTTGTTTTTGTGGTGTTGGGGCTGCGATTTGTCTGTAATGATTCACTGCCATGTTTTTAATTATATTTGGATCTGTGACTGCATCTTCCTCTGGATCTTTCAGGAGCAGTTTATCCATTTTGATATGTGTCGGTTTTCTGTTGAGAAATGAGTCAATCATCTTTTTCTTCACCAGCTGATGATTGTGTTGTCTTATTTCTGTATATTTTTGGATTAGAGTCTGTTTTCTATGTTGGAGGTGCATTTTGAATACTTTTGTAATACCTGCTCTCAGGTTGCGTGCTTCTTGAAACCACTGTACTAAGTTAATACCTCGAGGCTCTTCTGTCAGTTTGGTCGAGAGGAGCTTTGCTGTTTGTTTGTTTGTTCTGTTCCACTCATTGACTTGTTCTATTGTTTGCTCTGTGTTTATCCTCCCCTGCAGGTATTTTTTCCCGATATTTGTAGTCTTGTTTAGTGCTGTGATCATACGTGCTGTTTTTTTGTCTTTGTAGTTCACTTTCGGTTTGTCTTGTTTTGTTTTGATTTTTTTGATGTTGTTTTTTATGGCTTGGTTTATTATCTCCCATGTCAGGTTCCAGAGCTTGTTTGCTAATATTTGGTTTAGATTAATTTTTTCCCCTTGTGCAATTATAGCATTTTCAATTTGTGTTGCGAATTGTTCCCATTGTGTTGTGGTTGTGTGTTTGGGGGAGTATCTCCACGTCGCTTTTGTCCTATTTTTTTGTTGCATTTTTTGAATAATATCACCAATCTCAATTCGACATCCCGCTATTTTGTGGTCACTGTGTGTTATTGCTTCTGACTGTTATGTATGCGTCGAGTAGGTTCCAGCTCTCATCTGACAACAGCCAGATTTGGTCGATTCTGGTCTTGGTGTTTCTGCTGTTTTGCCAGGTGTACTCTTTTTGTTGTGGATATACTTCTCTGAATGTATCAATGTAACCATTGTAACTGAGGAATTTTAGTATATGTGACGTGGGGTTATTTGACTTGCTTTGGTTCTTGGACTGGATTATTTTGTCTAATCTAGGGTTTGGAATTGAGTTGAAATCTCCTAGTATGATGATTTTGTGTCCATTCTTTTTAGTGATCTGAGCTCTTTTCTCTATCCATCACATTGTTTGGTCTCTTTCTTTACCTAGGGCTGCTGGTATGTATGTTGCAATGATTGTGACCACCATTTTTTGTTTAAAATGTAGGTCTATACTGATGCCTCTTCCTATATATTCGATGGTTTTTCCTACATGTGTTGCAATCTTTTGTTGAATCATTATTGCGATACCTGCCCCTTTATTGTCGCTTGACCACCAGGTTCTATAGTTAGGGCATCTCCAGAATGTGGTGTCTTGTTTCGTTACCTGTGTTTCCGTTATCACTGCGATGTCTATTTGTTGGTCTTCGCAGTAAGTGTTCCACTGCAATCTTTTGGTTTCATCATTGATTCCTCTGATGTTGTGTGTAACGATGTGCTAGGTGTTAGTTGCTTTGGTGCCCTTACTAGCTATGTTTGTGTGTATTGTGTACTGTGTATGTGTGGTTGGTGTGGGGTTTTTCTCGATGTTGGTTTGATCATTCGTTGACCTATGGCTTTCTTCGTCTGAGTGTATGTTATCATTTGATTGTGTGTCTTCCTCTGGATAGTTGTTTATTGAGTTGTAGATGTTGGAAAGATTCTCGGCTATGCTTTGCGCATCAGCGCTGGTGCTATGGTTGTTCCTCATTATTGATAGTTTGTCATGTTGTTTGTGTTTCCGGGGATGAAGTTGTGGATAGTATTCATAAGGTTGTTCATTGTTTAATTGGTATTTTGAATGGTCATATGGATTTGTCTTTGCTGTGCTTGGATATCTTGAATCTCGTTGTTGTTATTGTGTTCACTTTCCTGATTGTTTTCTGATTGGTTGTTGTCTATGCTCTGTTCAGAGGTATCTTCTGTTTCCTCCATGGCTCCCACACCATCCTCATTGTAATATTCTAGGTTAGTGATTCTATCATCTATTTCGATCATTTGTTGTTTGATTTCCATAAGGTCCTGTTACATTTGTTGAAGAATGTTCATCACTTCTTGTAGATTGTTTGGATTGTCTACTGGTTGCTTTTGAATTGATTGTGATTTTGCCGCTGCAGCATATGATCCTGGCCTGCTTGATCTTTGTTGGGTTCGCATCGTTTGCATTGTTTTCCTAATATTTGTAGTCTTTGCAGATTTGAATTTCTGGTAAAGTCTTCCAAATCTAGTTGCTTGCTCTTGGTTATATTGTTGCCATTGTGTTTTTCTTTCTTTGATCGGGCAGTTGACTGCTAGGTGTGTGTGTGCGTCACAAATTGCGCAGGTCTTGTTGTCGATCTGTGCCCATGTAATTTGTGTTTCCACAAGTGTAAACTCGTTCACTAATGCATTCTGCAGATTCTCTTGACTTTCGAAACTGATGATTGCTACTTTTCTTTTTTGGTAGCTGCCGGTTCTAGGAATGTAACAGGTTTTTGCTTTGATCTGTTGACATATTATGCGTAAATCGAATGCAGTTGTATTTGGTGGTAGGTTAACCAGTTTTGCTGCGATGTTTCCTCTGTTTTTCATTTGTGGTAAGCTAAGTTGTGCATCAAAGATCCTTACTGAGTCTGCCTTGAGTGGAACACTCCACGTGTTTGTTAATTTCTCCTTACTGCTCTTTTCCTGAAAGGTAATGTGGGCGGTTTGCCACATATGTTGGGTACTCATACTCATACTGGTGATCTGTCCATATTTGGTAAATGCTTGACGCACCTCTATGGGTTTTGTGTCTAGGGGGATGTCCCATACCCTGATACTGTTTTCCTGTTTTAGGTTAGGTGTTGTTGTCAGCATGTGCTTCATATGCTTGCTTTCTGTTTCTGGTAAGTTGATTTCACATGCCAGGTCTGCGGCCTGTCTATCACCAAAAATAGCTGTGATCATCTCTTCTTCTTGTTTTCCTTCTTTACGAATTGCAAGGAGGCCTTCGGGGCTGCCCATTGCCTTCGTAATATATTGCATTTTTTCCCAAGAGTTTTCTCCTGATACTTTTGCTGCTGCAATTCCAATCTTGCTTCGTTGTCTGCCGTATCTTGTGACTCTGTTGAAGGGCGAGCGTGGTCTGGGTTTCATGCTTGTTTTTTCTGCCTTTCCTTTTCCTTTTACTGTTTGCCAGGTGCTTTGGTCTTCTTGAGTGTTTTGATCGAGAGTGGACATCTCTTCGTCGCTGTCATCAATTCTTGCTGCACCAAAATTGTATTGTTCTGGTGCTTTATGCTTAGAAATTTGTGTTGCTTCGGCTTGCCTTTCTTCATTGTGTACCTTTCCTTCGGAGATGGATTGGGCAGAAGTGGAGGCTTCACCCAGCTCTTCTTCTACCATTTGGCTCCATCTGTTTTCGATAACTGTTTGTGTAGGTTTTTGCTGTGCCTTGGCTGTTCGCTGTTGCTGTTGTTGTTCCTTCACCTTTGGCAAAAGTGTTGAGAGATGGGTTGGTGTTTCTGTTGCTGGTTTTTCCTGTTTTTTGGTGGGCTTCTGTACGGGATAGGGCATTGTCTCTTTATTTTTTGTATTGTTTCTCCCCTTAGACATGTCTGCTATGTTGTAGTTGGGCCTGGCGGCCTGGTTGGAGCTTCTCAGGCTCCTGTTTGCACTTATTTTTCCACTTCGCTTTGGTTTCCTTTTTTGGTAACTGTATGCGTTTGGGAAAGAGTCTGCAGTTGTTTTTTGATAATTAACAATAGGTTGTTAAACATTATCTATAAAAACAATATCCTTTCAAACAATTTATTTGCAGGACTTAAAAATCAAAATACTATAGAACCACTAGCTATTATATTTTCTGAATTAAAACTTGCCAACAATCTCAACAGTGAATATTGGTTTGCCTTTTTCAACATTTTCAAAGCATTTGACTCTGTAAACCTTTCAAGCCTGGAATCTGCCCTGAAGTGGATTAAAATTTCCTCACAAATCATATTATTGATCCTCAACTTCCTATACAATCATAGTTTGAGTATAATATCATACTACAAAATTACTAATCCCATTATAGTTAACAATAGTATAGATCAAGGTGAAATACTGGCTCTCTACTCTAAACAATTTTCTATAATCCAATGGTATCCAAAATTTCTAAAGATTTCTCAGGAAAGATAAGAATTCTCACTTATATAGATGACACTGCTATCACAAGCACCATTCTTGATAATCTACAAAAAGCCATAGATATCTTTTGTTCCTTCTTAAAACTTAATCACCAAATATAGTCAATCCTACTAGAACTTGATTTATTTTTTCAAGTGTATAAAGTTTCTATCAGTTTTCATAGTTGTTGTAAGTCTGAAAGATTCCAGTTGTTTATGTAGTCAAATAGTTCAATTTCTGGATCTTCTGATCTGATAAATTCTATTGTACTGTTTGCTAATTTACAGTCTGTTCTGGAGTTTGCTGTAGCATTAAAGTCATCCATAATAATGATTTCATAGTTTCTTCGTGAATATGCTTGCAACAGATTTTGTATTTTCTTCTATAATGTCTCTTATTACTGGATAGGTATATTTGTGCAATTCATGTTTTATATTCTTTGTTTAGGAGGTTGATTGCTATAAGGTGACCTTCGATCTTATCTACAGATGCTATAAATCTCTCGATATTTTGCAAATTAGTAGTAAAACTTCTGTACTCTTGGAATTGTTTGTTCTGTACTTGAAAAGCACTTGAATTGTTTTGATCTGCAAAGGCAAAGTGTTAATTTTCTTTTGAGAGTTTGATTTTACATAGGTTCATTATATCAATTTTCCTTCCAGTAATTATATTATTAGATTGGCTTGATCTGTTTCTCTATTGATTTCTCTTATATTATGTGTGCCTATTGTTATGTATAGTGTTTGATTGTTGGAGTTTTTTGAAGTTGTTGATATAAGATTTCTTTTATGGTTTTTATTTAGAAATAATGTTTTTTAATTGGATAAGAATTCATCTATATGTGTAGTATTATCAGTATTACTTGTTATTGCTGAAGAGATAGATTATATTGATAATATGTGTTATATGTTGGGTGGGTTTTGTTTTTCAGCAATAATTATAGTCTCTACTGGTGTATCTGTTTTTAGGATCTATAGTAGAATTTTTTTCTACTATTGTAACCTTCTTCCAACTTGTATAGTTACTTATTAATCTTCTCCAGTACTCTTTGGATTTGTTGCCAGGAGATCTTTTCTTTTCTTGTTTTACTACTGTCACATTTTTTGTTTGTATGTGTCTTGTGGGAATTTCTGATCTTGCTGAACTATTTTATTTCTATGTCTGTAGGTTCTTAAACTTCTGAGATAATACTTATATTATCTTCTTTTTCCATATCAGAACTCTTGAGATTTGTATATCTTGTATATTTTTTTTCTTGAGTCTTGTTATTTGTTTTGATGGTAATCTTTATATTGTTTTTTGTACTACACCAGGTTTTGCTACCAAACAGTTTTACATGGGATCTCAGTGCTTTGTTTAGATCTTTTATATTGGAGAAGCCTAGAATGGCAAAACTTCTTGTGAGGGTCTTTCGAGGTCCTCTCTATTAATTAAATTTGTAAGGCAGAGGTGTAATAATTTGGTCCGAGTATCCTGCTCTTTCACTAAAAAATAAACTTAAATTCGTCTATTAGCATGCATATTCGTCTACTCAAACTATACCTAAGTTCCTATTGTAGCAATAATGCATTCACACTTCCAAACTACTTTTGAAACTCTTCCAAAGTCCTTTATGGTCGCAGTTTCATCTTCAAATGTCTAGCATTTGCACAGTAGTTAGAACAAATAGTTACTTTTCAATTATTATTCCTTCAAGTAAATTGATATCCTTTTATTTAGACATTTTCGCTCTCCTTATATACATGCTAATTACAAAAAATTATCTTAAATATATTAACTATCTCAACTATCTAAACTATCTCAACTATCGCTAATATATCTAATTTCTCAACTATATCAAATATCTTAAATAAATCAAAGAAATCAAAGAAATCAAATAAAAGAAATATATTACAGATATCTCATTTTTCTTAGATTTGTCATTTTTAGGATCATCATTGCATAGACTTATGTGACCATGCAATTTCCCTTTCACATTCTTTTCTTTCCTGTTCTGTTATTTGTTGGTATATGTACGGTTTTGACATTGAGGTGTTTGGTTACACTTATTATTTTAATAGCTGAGACTTTCTTGTTTATTCTGTATAACCTGGTTGTGATGTTGTTTTGTCATGTTAGGGCCTCAGTGTAGTTTTGATATGGTACAATTCTTGATATTATTGTTTTAGTAATGTTAAAAATGTAACTTTTGCTAATTTGAAATTGTTATTGCCATTTTCCATCTGTATATATGAGATTGTTCCATATTTGGCTATAATACCTTTGAGTCTCTTGGTTGAAAAGTCAAAAGGTATGTCTATTATTATGACCTTTTTCATACCTATTGTAGTATCTGGGGTGTTTTCTTCTTCAGAAGAAGTCATGTTACTTGATTCTTCTTCATGCAAGATCTTGATTATTATCTGGGGTTGGTGGATTAGTAGTTCTTTCTTACATTCTAATATGTTATTAGACTTTTGAAAGTATAGAATTGTCCATTTGCTTTTTCCTATGGCCTTAACTTGGATTTCTTTGTGGAATAAGGGAACTTTGAGAAATCCGATAAGATTTTGCAATTACTTTTCTTTGTTTTTGTCAAGAATAGTACTGCATTTGATTTTTAGTTGATATGGGCTATTATATTTTGACAGGTTGAATTTGTTATATATGGGAATACTTTTTTAAGTATATTTTTTATGTTTTGTTTTTACAGGTAATGAACTGTTGGTTGTTCCAAGATAATAAATTTGAAGCCCTCTTTTTCTTTGTCAAACTTGATTAAGTATCTTTCCATATCTTCTTTGAATTGAAATTAAATGGCATATCATTTATTTCTATTTATAAAGGATATTTGTATAAGTTTGTGCTTGTCCTTGGACAGTTGAAGAAGATTGGCAATATATTTGATTTGCTCTTCTTTGGAATCTCCCAGTGTGTTAGCTATAAGTGCTCCTATTTTAAAACCACCTAATTTGCTAACAAAGAAAGAATTGATAGGTGTGTATTGCCTATTTCTTGTATAATAGCTATGGACAGATGTTATACAGCTTTCTAGTGGTATATAGGTTGATGTTTTCTCCTCCTCTTTCTCAGATTCTAATACTATTTCCATTGCCAGTTAGTTAGAAACTTTTTCGTTTATTGAACTGCACTCTTCCTTGGAATCTTATTCTATTTGTGTGACATTATTTTGTGTTGTTATGGCCACTGTGTTGTTGAGTCCTGTATAGGGCTTCAAAAAGTACCGAACCAGTACTGAAGTGATATCGAAATAGTACCGATCTATAGTAAATTTAATATATAGATTGTGATCCACTTATATAAATTTATAGTAAATTTAAGTATTGAACTGGCATTGAACTGGTATTGAAGTGATACTGATAGAAGCCCTAGTTCTGTATATACTTATAGAAGATGTGTGTAGTTGTTAGTATATTGTTTTTCTTATTGACTCGAAGGTTCTATTGGTTTGATAATATTCAGTATTTGTTGGATTTGATATGAATCCTCTATTATGTATTTGTTCAATATTTCAGCTTAAAGGTTGTTGTGTTCCCAAATTTGCTTTATATATTTTTTGACAAGTGCCCATTTTATTGCTGTTGAAGCATTGATATTAAATAGCTTTGTCACTACTGTATCTAAAACTGGAATGTTTATTATTGTCCCAAGTTCAAAGAATTCTAAAGAGGAGTTGTTGTAACTATTTTTAAGGAGTGATTTAATTTATTGCTGATTATAAGCATCATGATTGTTATTCAGTATTCTTAAGTACTTGATAATCTGATTCTCTATTGATTGCTAGATATTTGTTTTTGATTCTTAGGATCTTTTGTTTTTCTTCTAATCACAGTGTTAAAAAAGTCTTGGTATCCTTCTGATTTTGTATTAGTGGTAAGGTCACCTGGTTTGCCAGATATGATCCAACTAATACAAGACCCTACTGATGTCTAGGAAGGTATTTAACCTGGTATACAACTGGCTGGTAGCTTGAAAAGTATGGTGCTGACTTTCTCTTTTATTTAATTATAAATTGCTTTTCTTGTTTTTTTCTCTTTCCCAGTAAGAAAAAACAGGAGTGTCTCTATCTATATCTGTATTGAAATAAAAGAAAGTATTAGTGTTTTTTTAAGTTTAAATATACCTGTTTAATGTGCCTTTTTTGATTTTGGAAGAAATCAGTGAAGTGTTTCTTCTTGATAAGGGTTTTCTTTAGATATTTTCTTTGATATTTCATTGGATTTTTTTGTTTTTGT